GCTGAGCCACATCTCCAGCCCCTCCCCATGCCCATTTTTTAAGAAATTTTTGAGATAGGGCCTCAAGTTGTTGAGGCTGGCTTTGAATTCATGATCCTCCTGCCTCAGCCACCATGCCTGGTACTCTGGCCTATTTCTTATATTCACTATTTATTCTTGACACCTCCTCTCCCCACCATTTCCTTATGGGGATGGAACCCAGATGCTAGCACATGCTCAGGMAGTACTCTACCACTGAGCTTCTACATCCCTAGGCTGCCTCTTTTCTTTTCTCACCCTGGCTATAGCTATATTGGGACAAGCTTTCTTGGTCACTTGCTGGCTGCCACCTCCATTTTCTTTGTCTCACTTGTCCCTTGGCAGGCTGGTTTGGGGAGCAGTTGACACACTGGTGTAGAAAGCATGGCTCTGCTACTAACTCACTGTGTGTGACCTTGGACAATTCACAGTTTTACTCTTGATGTAATATTACAAATTATTTGTGTAAAAATCATTTTGTTGATTGCTCTGGAAAACTTTGGTTCCTTCAAGTCCTCCCTTTTCCTGAATATTGTACAGGTGCTTTGTTGGACAGCATGCTCTGGGTCTAAGATTTGTCCTGTGAAATGGTTTTGTAGCCTCATAGGGTGGAGCAGGACATAAGTGGAGGGGTAAATGAGAATCAGTCACCCATAAATGGATGAGGCCCTACTTTGCCTTTTTTTGGCTCTTCTCTGCAGGTACTGAGACAGAGCAAACACAAGAGCTTGGAAAATTCTAGCAAGCCCTTCTGATCTGACTGTCTGGGACACTCACTCCTGCTAGTAACTTTCATCCTGCCTTCCCTGCTAGAGATGGCCATGGATAGAGACGCTGGCTGAGGACTCCTTGGTTAATACTCGGTTTTTCTATGGGCTCTTTTACCAGGACATCAATAGCCTCAACAAACAAATCGCTCAACTTCAGGATTTTGTGAAGGCCAAGGGCAGCCAGAGTGGCCGGCACCTGCAGACCCATTCCAACACCATTGTGGTCTCCTTGCAGGTGGGACCTTGGGGATGGAGGGAGGGAGTGAGAAAACTGGATTTTCTTTGCTTGATTCTTTCTCCTTTTCTTCTAGTCAAAACTGGCTTCCATGTCCAATGACTTCAAATCAGTTTTAGAAGTGAGGACAGAGGTGAGAGGAATCTGAAAAAAGGGATAGAAATATGGGAGTAAGGGCCCAAGAGAAAATGGAAAAGGGACAAGTTCCACAGGGTCATGGGGCTAAGAAGAGGGATCTCTTTAATATACTCACTTACAGAGGCATCAGGACCTTTGCATTTTTTTCCCTAACCCCAGAATCTGAAGCAGCAGAGGAGCCGGCGGGAACAGTTCTCCCGGGCGCCTGTGTCAGCCCTGCCCCTTGCCCCCAACCACCTGGGTAAGTCACAGGCAATATGGGAAGCCCTGGTGGTTACTCTTGATTACTGTGGCTGTCATGGCACCTAGAGACAGGTATTGGATAGGAGAATGGAGGGGCCAGGAATTTGGTAGGCATTTCTCAGATGTCAGACCTGATTATGGGAATTCATTATCCACAATTAGTCTTCCACATTCTCTCTGTTGGGGGTGAATTCAATCATTTTGAGATTGAATTAGAGTATCTAAATGTTTTATGCACTTATTCGAATTCTCTCATTTAATTGTCACAACCACCCTTTGAAAAAGCAACTATTATTATCCCCATTTTACAGGTGAGGAAACTGAGGCTCAGAGAGGTTAAATGATCTGTCCAGGGTCACAAGGCTAGTAAGTGCCAGAGCTGGGATTCAAATCCAGAGCATGTGGGCTTTGAACCTGCCTTTAACTATTAAGATGTGCCATGTCCTCTTTCTTCTGCAGGGGGTCCTGTGGTTTTGGGGGCAGAGTCTCGTGCCTCCAGGGATGTAGCCATTGACATGATGGATTCCCGGACCAGCCAGCAACTACAGCTCATTGATGAGCAGGTACTCAGGCTCTAAATTGAAGAGGATGAGCTCTTCTGTTCTCTGTGGGTCCCAAGACAGTGGAGCGTGCCATGGGTGGAATGGCAAGCTGGGAAAGTCCTAAAGACTCTTCCCTTGAAGAAGCTCATACTGCCAATTTGCTCTCTTCCTCCCCTAAAGGATTCCTATATCCAGAGTCGGGCAGATACCATGCAGAACATAGAGTCTACAATTGTTGAGCTGGGCTCCATCTTTCAGCAGTTGGCACACATGGTTAAGGAACAGGAGGAAACCATTCAGAGGTGAGGCACTGGCTTATCCCACATAGAGGAGCCTTCTTTTTCCTGTGGATTGGCATCTTGAAGTACCCAGTTTGATGTCCTTTGGAAGAGCAGAGTGGAATCTGCCAGCACATAAGGCCCAGGTCACCTGCTTCCGCTCACTCATTAAGTATTCGTTGAGCACCTGTTCYATGTCAGGTACTAGTCTAGGTGCTAGGTCTACAGTGAGGAATCCCTGTATAGTGAAGACTCTATAGCATGAAGCTCTCTCTCTAGTGTCTATATGGAATTTGATAGAGTGGGTATGGATAGCTGCTAAAAAACTTAAAAGCAAGCAAATTTCAGGTACTATAGTAATAAGGRCTATACAGAGACTTAAGTGGGATGATAGCTTAAGAAAAGTGACTTGAGAGCTGTAATCTCATTGCATGCCTGTAATCTCAGTGGTTTGGGAGGCCGAAGCAGGAGGATTTGAACTCAAACAGGAGGATCTTGAGTTCAAATCCAGCCTCAGCAATCTGGTGTGGCCCTAAATAGCTTAGTGTCTCAAATTTAAAAAGAAAAAGAAAGAAAGATAGAAAAGTGATTGAGAGCTGGGTGTGGTGGTGCTCACTGATAATCCCAGCTACTCTGGAGATTGAGGCAAAAGGAAGATCCCTGAACCCAAGAGTTTGAGAGTAGGCTAGGTAACATAGTGAGACCCTACCACAAAAAAGAAATAAGTAAAATACAATAAAAAAGAAGGCCACTGACTGGGTACATCATAGATTGAGTGGCAGGGAAGGCCACTCGGAAGAAGATAGGATATTTGTTTTAGTTAACTTTTTAACTAAAACAATTTTAGAGGAGGAAAAGTTTATTTGGGTCTAATGGTTTCAGAGGTCTTATTCCAAAGACCTATTCTGTTCCTCAGGGCTTGAGGTGAAGGAGAATATCAGGTSTGAAGTGTATGGTGAAGGAAAGAAGCTGAGAACATGGCACCAGGAACCAGAGATAGAGTGATAGAGATTCCCTCACCACAGACAAAATATATACCCCAAAGGCACCCTGCCCCCAATGATTCACCTCCTCCAGTCATACCTGCCTGATCTACAGTTACCACCCAGTTAATCCCTGTCAGTGGATTCATGCACTGATTAATGTTCTCCTAACTGAATAATTTCATCTGTAAACTTTGCATTTTCTTATACATGAGYTTTTGAGGAACACCTAAAAAATCTAACCGTAACATTCCACCCTTGGCTCCCAAAAGCTCATGCCTGCTTCACATGCATAATGCATTTAGTCCATTTTCAAGAGTCCYCATGGTGTCAAAAGTTCCAGGATTTCCTAAAAGTACAAGTCCAAAGTCTCCTCTGAGACTCAAGGCAAACTCTCAGTGTGAGTCCCCATAAAAATCAAAAGCCAAGTTTGGTGTGGTGGCACAGGCCTATAATCCCAGAGAGGCTCTGGCAAGAAGATCRCAAGTTTGAGACCAGCCTCAGCAACTTAGCAGGGCCCTGTCTCAAAGTAAAAAAAAAAAAGGGGGGGGGGCTTGGATGTGGCTCAATGGTAAAGCACCTCTAGGTTCAATTCTAGGAACAACAACAACAAAAAAAAATCAAAAGTAAGTTATATATATCCAATATGAAGRCACAGAGTAAACATTTCCATTCCAAAAGGGAGAAAAGGAGAAATAGGGACATACAAAGGAGGGATCGGGCCAAAGCAGGCCAAAATTCGGGTGGGCAAATAAATCCTATAGTTCTGTGTCCTTTTTCTGGGGCACATAGYATCTTGATATTCTCTGCAAAGGGTTTGTATAGCTCTGTGCCTGTGGCTTTGGTGGTGGCAGCTTACGTGGCCTCTTTCTCAGCTTTCTTAGGCAGACATTCCATGGTACTGGCATTTCTTAATCTCAAGGGTCTCCACTGCAGCTTTGGTTTCCTTCTCACATCTCCATGCATTTTTGCTTTCTATTCCTAATTATCACAATAAACTGCTGCCAGCAATGCCCATACCACCAACTGAATGCTGTGCTGCCTAAAAATTCCTTCTGACAGATTATTTAGTCCATCACCATTAAATTCAGTGTCACAGAAAGTCTCAGGACATGGGCAAAAGATAAACAGCACATGAATGGCCTCTAGTCAATTTCCAATAGAATTCTCCTTTTCCCCAGATCTCATGAGCCCAGTCATAACTGTCTGCAATCCTATTGGCATTCTGGTTTTCTGAGCTCCCTTAATGGGTAATTCCACTTACAACATTCTAAAGCTTTTCATTACTAGACTTTCCAAATTTTCCTCATACAAATTCCAAAAAGCTTCTGAATCACATGGTTCGGGTACTTACAGCAGMAGACCCATTCCTGGTACAAATTTCTGTTTTAGTCACATTTTTCATTGGTGCAACCAAAAGACCTGACACAAACAATTTTAGAGGAGGAAAAGTTTATTTGGGTCTAATGGTTTCAGAGGTCTTATTCCATAGACCTACTCTGTTCCTCAGGACCTGAAGTAAAGCAGAATATCATGGCAGAAGTGTGTGATAGAGGAAAGCAGTTGGGAATATGGCACCAGGAAGCAAAAAGAGATGCAGAGAGAGATTCCCTCACCACAAATAAAGTACAAAACCAAAGGCATGCCCCCAATGACCCAGCTCTAGCTACACCGTTACCTGCCCTGTAGTTACCAGACAGTTAATCCCTATCAGTGTATTGATGCACTGATTAGGTTAAGGCTCTCATAAGCTAATCATTTCACCGGTAAGCCTTCTTGCATTGCCTTACACATGAGCATTTGGGAAACGCCTAAAATCTAACAATAACATTATTACTGCCAGGTATGGTGGCATACGCCAGCAAATCAGGAGGCTAAAACAGGAAGATTGCAAGTTCAAGACCAGTCTCAGCAATTTAGGGAGACACCCTAAGCAACTTGGTGAGACTCTGTCTCAAAATAAAAAAATAAAAGGGGCTGAGGATATGGCTCAGTGGTTAAGCACCTGATACAAAAAAAGGTTACAAGATTTGACTGTGTGTGTGTATCCGTGTATCCCCAGTTCTAGGGATCAGACTTAGGTCCTTACACAGGCTAGGCAAACACTGTACCACTGAGCTACACCCCTAGCTGAATCTCATAAGAGGATTAGCTGGGCTTGGTGATATGTTCCTGTGTAATCCCAGCAGTTTGGGAGACTGAGGCAGGAGGATTACAAGTTTGAAGGCAATTTAGCTAGGCCCTAAGCAACTTGGTGAGATCCTGTCTCAGATAAAAAACTGAAAAGGGCCAGGGATGTGGCTCAGTGGTTAAGCACCCCTGGATTCAATCTCCAGTACTTAAAAAAAAAAAAAAAGAATTAATCTTTTGGTAACATTGTAGGTCTCTAGGACAGTACAGAAGCAGGGAGATCATTGCAGAGGCCTTTTCAGTAATTTAGGGAGAAGATCATGATAGCAGTGGGGGTGGTGGTGAATAGTTATTTATATATAAAGTTTAAGGTTATCTGAGCTAAATAAAGAGTATTAAAGAAGTGGAACTGGGTATGGTGGCCCACACCTATAATCCCAGTAGCTGTGCAGGCTGAGGCAGAAGGCTCACAAGTTTGATGCCATTCTTGGCAACTTAGTGAAACCCTGTTTCAAAAATTAAAAAAAAAAA